GGTGTGTTTATTTCGGTGCTAGAAAAATAGTGTTCGGGAATGTGACGTTGAAATTAATTATTATTTTTTGTTTGGTAAGTTGGAAAGAGAAAAAAAAATTATTTGGAATAACTAATACTCAAATATATAAATTACTCGTGACATTTTGAATATTTATTCTCATATCAAAAGATGGGAATCATATATTTCAGCACAATTGATAATAGGAATGCTAGGGACATAGCTATAGAGGATTTGGAGTACTATAGACCAGAAAAAATTGATACTTATATAAACATTTAAACTAATTACAAATCTGTTATATTATTTAGTGTTTTACTATACAAACATAAATACAAAAAAGAAACATGTTTCTTTGTAACGATGCACTGTCCTTTTAGTTTGTCCTTTAAGTTTAAAACAATGTAGTACAATATATTTTGGAGAATGTAGTCTTATAGATCAAATGCTCGTGGAAAATAGATGGATGAAAACTTGATTTTTTGACATCCGGGAGCATATACTCCTTAATCGGGAAGCAATGTGTGTAGATATTTAAAAAGAAATATTTTGAATCTATTATATTCATAATCTCTTTATTAGAAGTTTTCTAATTGTTTATTCGTGTATACTTATTTTTCATTCATCCTAACATTCATAGATATATTGTACTATCACTTAATTATTATTCTTAGCCAAAGTTTTGCATATTTGACTATTAAAAAAGAATTAATGATATCTCATTTTAAAACTTTTATATTTGATTTCAAACATGGAAATCTAAGAAAAATAAAAGTCAACTTATAAAATAACTTTTTCAAAAATAATTTAAAATTGTAAAAGCTATGTGAAACTTTATAAGAGTGTTGACATTGACATAAACAAATTATGTGTCTTATGCCATAAAGAAAACGGTGTTATTGAATAGGGAGTTGGAGATAAGATTCAATGAAAAAAATTTTATTACTTTTGCCAAAAATATAAAAATATAATAAATATACGAAATTCGTCGAAATATTATAAATAATATCGCCTAATTTTAAATAAAAAAAAACAAAAATAAATATTTAACACCAATTTTTCTTATTTATAATGAAAATTGTTGCAAAAATATGACAATTAATATATAGTATTACTTTAAATCATTATAAATTATGTATAAATATTTTTCAAAGACAAATGGAAGCGGTTTTAATGATCACAATTTTATATTTAAGACAATAAGCAACCGTTCCTATAGACTGATAATGTTTTAGTGTGTGTTTATTTCGGTTCTAGAAAAAAAGTTTTTGGGAATGTGTCGTTGAAAATGTTTTTTTATTTTTGTTTGTAAGGTGCGAAAGAAAAAAAAAATCTTTGGAATAAATAATACTAAAAAATATAAATTAGTTATGAATTTTTAAATATTTATTCTCATATCAAAGGGTGGGAATCATATATTTCAGCACAAATGATAATAGTGATGCTAGAGACATGTCTATAAAGGGTTTGGAAGATTGATACTTATATAAACATTTAAAGCAATAAATATTTCTTTGTAATGATGAATTGTCCTTTTAGTTTAAAACAATGTGGTACAATAAGTTTTAGACAATTTAGTCTTATAGATCAACTGCTCATGCGAAATAGGTGGATGAAAACTAGATAGCTTGACATCCAGGAGCATATACTCCTCAACCGAGGAATAATGTATGTAAATGTTAAAAAAAATATATTTTGAATCTATTATATTCATAATCACTTTATTAGAAGTTTTCTATTTGTTTGTTCATGTATACCTATTTTTATTCATCGTGACATTCATAGATATATTGTACTATCACTTAATTAATATTCTTAGCCAATGTTTTTCAATTTTGACTATTAAAAAAGAAGTAATGATATCTCATTTCAAAACTTTTATATTTGAGACAATAAGCAACCGTTCCTATAAATTGGTAATGTTTTAGGGTGTGTTTGTTTTGGTGCTAGAAAAAAAAGTTTTTGGGAACGTGACGTTGAAATAATTTTTTTTTATTTGGTTGGTGGAAAAGAAAAAAAATTCTTTGGAATAAATAATATTTAGAAATATAAATTACTCATAAAATTTTGAATATATATTCTGATATCAATCGGTGAGAATCATATATTTTAATAGGAATAAAAAATAACCAACTATAACTATCCACTTTCGTGTTATTTCAATATATTATTTCATATTTTTAAAATTTAAAAATTACGAATAAAATAAAATTCAAAAATATTCTTAAAAACCTTAATTGTTTACCAAGCAAATTGATGAGAAAAAAAACTGCATTAACATTCCTAGTAACGGTCGTGGTGCCAGGACAAAATTTTCGAGATAGCCCTCAGAATATATTACAAATCATAAATAATTATTTAAATTATATTATAAACAAAATCTTTAAATGATAATAAAATATAATAGTATGTCAACAAAAAAATGATTACATATTTATAACAAATTTGACATCAATATCAATATTTTTGTCTGATATAATACAATTAATCAAAATAACAAATTTTAAGTATAGGAGATGTGCAATTTAAATTTTGAAATAAAAACTTTAAAATTGAAAAATACACTCTTTCATCAAAATAAAAGTCTTGAAATTAAAAAATATATAAAAAAATTGTAATTCAAATATATTTTTTACGAAAAAGATTGATACAATAGATAAATTAATAAAACTACTAATCAAGTTTAATTATTAATATAGGTCCCATTAATTTGTTACTTGTATCTATTTTTATATAAATTATTACATTTGTTTCTAAATATAAGAGTACTTAAATACGTGTTATAAAATTTAAAATATTGGTTCTAGTATTAAATTTTTTAACAATTAATATAAATTTATAAATTTATCTTTAAGAAGAAAAATAATTAATTTTTTATAAGATTTTTGTTACAAATTATATAGAGAAAAGTAATATAATTAAAATATTATTAATAAAAACAATTAATCTATATAATAATTAGAGAAAAACATAGTTCTACTTTTTTATATAAAGAGAGTTTTAAATTATAAAATGAAGTATGGAGATATGAGTTTGTCATAGACTATATGTGAGTGTATGACTTATGGGGCCAAGCTTATATTCTGTGTGTATCGTAAAAGTTTTTTTTCACTGTATATTATAGAGATATTAACATAGTTTAATTTCTTTTTCTTGATCAACTTTAGTCTTAGCCAGTTTATAAATTTTTTTTTTTAAAAAAAATTTGTGGGGGGTGGTTGTGGCCTTTCCCTGTCCTTAGCTGGCTCCGCCACTATCTTGAAATAATATTTTTGAGATTATAATTTAAATATTTCAAACAAACACGTAGATTTAAAATGTTGAACTTTAATTATAATTTAACTTTTTTGTAAAAAATAATAATAAAAAAGTGGTACATTGTTATTTAAAAAACATTAAATATTTAATACATAATAGATCAATAATATAAAAATGTAATATGAGATAGTGTTTTAAATTAATCTAAATTTTTATCATATATAATATTGATTATCATATGAAATGCACTACTTCAAAACTCATCTTTAATATATGAATAATAAATTCTCATGAAACATATAAAATTAAGTAGTTGTAACTAAATTTTTTAAAAATGTGCACGAAGAATGAGAAATTATAAATTCTAATGCAATATATAAAATTAAAGAGGCTTTAACTATAAATCTTTAAACGTGCATGAAGAAGAGAATTAAAATAATATAAAATTAAAAAATTAAATTAAATAATAATCTATTAGGGTTTTGCTAATTGCTCTTGCGATTTTTGGCGTGGAGTAACTAACTTCGGTGAGGCTTCAGCAACATTTTCCGGTTGATTCTTCGTTCTTTGTTGGCTAAAAGTCTTAACATTAAGGTTAGGGGCCACAAAGGTGTAAGCAGTCACCGTGTAAAACCTTATTTCGACTGTTTTTTTTAGGATGGAACGAGGGTGGGGACGATCGAAGGTGAAAGTATTATTGCCACCGATTCAACCAACTATAAGAAAAAGTGGATTTTTTTGAGGTTACGGCAGTTTAAACCGCCGCAAAACCTGGGTCATGACAGTTTATGTTCCACTGTAGTACCATGTATCGCCACTATGAATTGCGACAATTATAAATATTATTTTATTTTCTATGTTTATTGCGACAGTTCCAAATTGCCGTGAGTTTGATATTGTGTCATTCTAATTGTCGCAGATTATTTTTTAAATTCTAACAATATGTTTTGTAATTGTTTATAGTGACATTAATCATTTAATTTTTTACTTTAACAACACTATTAAACTATATTTAATTAACATTTTTTTTTTGTTTTTATTAATTTTTTTTACTAATAACTTTTTATATATATTTCTTTAAATTATTATTTTTATTTTAGTAATATTTATTTATCCCGTTTCTTTAACTTTTTATTTTATTTTCTATAGCTTTCTAACAAAATGAAATTGCAATCACAAATTTAAAATTTCAATTAAACATCATAATATATCAATAAAAAGTGTGACTTCCTTAATCATAATACAAGAAAAAGTACGAGTTCCTTAATCATAATACAAGAAAAATGATTGATCCATAGTCATTCTTGATAATAAACATCGTAATACAAAAAACTGAAATGATCAAATCTTAATCTCTAATTATATCTTTTTGATGTTTCATTATTTTCAACTCGGTAGCTACCATCTCTAAGTGATTCTAAATATGATCCCTGGAAAAAAAGTAAAATAATAATCATTTTCTTTAACTTTTTAAGCATGATTTACAATATTTAAAATTTCACTAGAATATATACATCTAAAAGAATATACATGTCTTCCACTAGAATTATGCATTTGCTTTAGTGCAATCTCCTCCTTCATAGAATTGTCCATTTGCTTTAGTAATGCAACTTGCACCATCAACTCATCAATTTTTGAACTCTTTTCTTTAAATGCAATAATTTCTTCTTATATTTCCTTTATTTTTTCATTTGCTTCAGAAGAAGACGCCGATCTCGTAGATCTATTAATTCGAGAAGGCGTTACTCGAAGTCCCATACAACTAATATATTCGGATGTTCTTTTCCGAAGACTTTCTCAAATGCAGCTTCTAATTTCTCCTGCACATGCAAAAGAAAAAGTTGAGTGACCGAATTCCTAATTCCAAATTAATTACTTAGAAATTAGTATAAATCTCAATGAATTAAAGTCCTTTGTTATCTACATGCCATAAGTATTATTTTTATTGTTCTCCTCTTAAAATAAAACACATGTACAATTATGTTCTATCAATTAAATGACAATAATGTTGTTAGGCTGTTAGGCGTCACCGTTATTTTGAGGGATGCCACACCCTATTTTGAGAGACGACATTAATTCATTTAAAGTAAATTTGACATTTTTATATTTGACAATAAGAACCAGACTTATGTAGTTACATATAAGTTTTATCATGTTTAGATTAACAAGTCTTTAAAGTGAGTCGAAACAAAGTTATACATTACATTCATGGATAGTATCACACTATTTAAAAGAACAAATAAATATAATTTCAGACAAATTCTCCCCACCTTTTAAAAGGTGCCAAAATATTTTATTTTTTTCTCAAACCTTAAAAGAGTCTACAAGTATCTCAAAAGAATTAAGTTGCACTTATATTATTGTTGTAGACATCTTTATTGACAAAAAATCTATCCATTTTTTTATGATAAATTGTATACATTTCTCGTCTGCTATATGTCCGTCCATATCTTAATTCCTATAAATAAGCACAAATATTAACTATTTTTACTATTAAACATACAATCACCAATATATAGATTTAGTCATACCCACTTATGTCGCTTCCTTGCCATCGACTTAGATCCGAGTGTACGTGGAATCTTCAATTGTTTTCTATTTCTAGCATTTGTTCCTGCTATTTTCTACATTGGTATAAATTAAAAACAATAGTTAAAATACTTAGGAAACCTCATTTCTATATGAAAAATACAATAAAAAAATATTAATATTACCTGTGTTTTTTATCCCCTTCTATATTGAACAAAAACAACTCAAACATTTTTTAGAATACCTTTTGGAGAATTTGTAAGATTTTCCTCCAATTTAAAATCCCACTTATAATATTTAGAAAACAAACATTGAACACCTCTCCATTTCTTTCCAGTGGAAAGAAGAATCAATCTTTTGTCCTCTCCATCTTCATCAACAACAAAATGAGCCTAGCCATAAAAGTAAAAATTAGTTAATAAAATAAATACTATATACATAATATTTAGCTGCTTATTAATGATACTTTTATTTTTTAATTATAAAATGTTGTTTTGTTTTCCCCTAGAAGTTTCCTCCAAGTAACGAACATTATAGAAAGGTCTTGAAACATTTTGACTAATAAACCAGTTGATGATCCTACATGAAGACCGTTTAAATTCCTATCAATCACTATCCTTGTTCCAACAGCAAATTTTCCCATCAAATCTTGCGCACATAACGTGTGTTTGAAATATGACCCATCTCATCTATCACATAATAAAAGTAAACAAACAAATTTCATAATTAAACTATGTAAAATATTTAAATTATTTAAAGATACTTTAACCATAAATTACTTACTAATAACATTTACATTCCAATATTTAGAACTATTCACTTGATCAATTTCGGTCACATCTTCTTCTTCATCTTCATAGTGAGGGAATGAAATATCGTAGTTAGGAAATGTCTCCGAAGAAAGTGATGATTCTGTAGTTTGGATTGGTGGAGGGATTATTGTTATTGTTTGTGTAATAACATGGATAGTTGGTGTAGTTTGAATTGGCGGAGGGGTTTTTGTTGTTGTTGGTATAGTAACATGGGTAGTTGGTGTAGATTGGATTGGCGAAGGGGTTACTACAGTTTGAATTGGCAGACTTACTATTGTAGTTTGAGTTGATGGAGGGATTATTGTAGTTGGTGGAGTTGCCGCTAAACATTGACGCTTCTTGGATATTTCAAGATCTCTAAGTTGTAAAAACTTTGAACGACCCTTCGATGATGGTTTTGGAGATGACGATTAAGATTTGTTAAAGGATTGAGAGAGTTGAGTCAGATTGAGAGCCTTAAACTGCAAGTATATATATATATATATATATATATATATATATATATATATATATATATATATATATATATATATATATATATATATATATATATATATATATATATATATGATAAACAAGTTGGTATATATATATATAAGTATTAAACATTAATTCAAAATAGAATTGCACATAATGGTTTTCTTTCCTAAATTACCCTTAATGTGTTACAATTATTTCCAAAATAATAAGTAAACTTAATTCAAAACAATATGCTCCTACCAGAGAGAAACTCTCCTAACAAACTCTCCAACAATACATCTGAAAGATTCCCTACTCACCACACCACTATCATAACATTCTCTAATAAAAAAGGGAAATACTCCATGTTGACCAAGTCACAAACTATTTCTCATCCTCTCCCTAGGGTCAAACTTCATATAGAATATATACATAGGTATCCTTTCATGGTATATCATTGAGGGTTTAGGCTCGCAGTATAACAGTTTTATATGTTGCTGAATCCGCAGCGCAACCATGTTGAAATGCAGTTTTATATCAGCTGCATTTAAATGTGAATCTCCACAATATCAAGGATCATGACATGACCGTGACTGTTACCACAACGGCCAATTAAAATCCTCTAAGTGACTACCAGCTATGCTGCTATAACATTTTAAAAATCGGCCGCTAATTGACTACATGGGACTCAAAGAGTGTGGTTCAAATTTGGAACCAATTGACAGTAGCATAAAATGAAAAGGAGGAGAAAAGGGTGGCTGGTGGTAACTCTAACTCATAATAGCTGCAAGAAAATAATCTGAAATATGCCAGCCACCCAAAGTCCTATATCCTATGAAACACGGACATAAGAAATACACGACCCCGACAATTACAAATCGACACTCTTAAAATTGAAAAAATGAATAAATTAAACGTAATCACAATTGTTGGTATCAGTTTCAGACACCGATCCTGACACACCTTTTCTTTAAGGTTTCATAGACTATATATATGTATATAAATGTTTCAAGCTCAACTTTTATGTTAAAGAACAAAACTTGCTTGTTAATTATAAATTGGGTGACCTTTAGTTGATTAAATTGACTTTTTTTCCTACTAATATCATATAAACTCAACAAAAACTACTTCCTATTACGAAAAAGATGTTACCATTTTCATGGTGGAATTGTTTTCTTACTTGCAACAAAAACTATTGCATATTACAAAAAAGATGATAGCATTTTCATGGACAGAGAAACCATTCTTCTTTCTTGGCTATGCTATGGTAATCAACATCTCTTTTAAACATTCTTTCAAGTTCATTCTTTATGGGTTCTACTCAACTTAATTTTAAGAAATATGGTTGGAAAATGATAATTGATACATGGAAGTTTTTTTATGAATGATACATGGGTCTTCTGCTCAATTGTGAATTCTACCAACAGGAAGATAGATAACAGATTCATGGAAGTTTTTTTTCTCTATGATTGATACATGGGAGTTTCTAACTATAAAGTCACTGTTAATGCAAATAGCCCAAAGTCGTAAACATGCTTCTGAAACACATAGAAAATTCTTTGACCATTTTCTCTCAATATTATGTAATTTTTTAATCTAATATTTTTATTAATTTGTGTTCCATTATGACGTCTTTCTGAATCTATTATTTTATTAACTTTTCTCTATTTCTATCCATTATTATATATTAATATTATAATTTCATCTTCTTATAATTTTTATATTTACTATTGATCACTATTTTACATTTCCATTAAACTGTTACAACAAGCAGGGTGTAAAATTGAGTGGTGGAATTGAAAACTGTATTTTTATCATCATGAAATCGTGAATAATTGTATATTTTTTTTAAAAAGTATCAATTGTAAGGTATACTTATTAACCAAAACAACTCATTTGTGAGAGTGGACTCAATATTTAAGTTCCATCTATATTGTAATTCCTACCGACAAATTCAATAGATGAGATCATAATCAAAATTTTGCCAATTGCATCAATGAAACAATTCAAACAATTTATTTCATTAAATTGTAATGAAAATTGTTGCAAAAATATGACAATTAATATATAGTATTACTTTAAACCGTTATAAATTATGTATAAATATTTTTCAAAGACAAATGGAAGCGGTTTGAACGATCACAATTTTATATTTAAGACAATAAGCAACCGTTCCTATAGACTGATAATGTTTTAGGGAGTGTTTATTTCGGTTCTAGAAAAAAAAGTTTTGGGGATGTTTTGTTTAAAATGTTGGTGTTGACTAAGCTGAGCAGTCTACCATGTTCTTCACTGAAGGGAGAGCTTTCCGGAATTCTTGATGTGAGCTCCTTGAGTTGAGGAGGGATTCTCACAAGGTTGACTTGGATGGTTTTTCTGCGAGGAATTTCGATGACCTACAAAACAAGAACAAAGATGAAGATCTAAACCCTTGAAGTGGTTAGTAATTGCATATGATGCTTTATGATGTTCATGATGTATGCACAAACATATGTACAAGCAAATCACACCAAACCCTAGTTTCAGGCTTGCATGCGGTTTCATAGGTAAGTACCCTCTTGAGTGTAGTTGGCTTAAAAAACTTGTCCTATAAATAGTAACCGGGTTCTAAGGAGCTCAATATCACTGGATTATTTTCATTGTTCATTGTTTTGGTTTAGCCACTTAACTAGCGACCAAAATATTCCAAGAAAACAACCCTCAATGAGTGTAGTATCGAGTATCTACCAACTTCGGACTGCACCAAAGCCGGTCATCTCACTACCCCTAATGAAAGGCCAATATGGTCAAGTAAGGTTCTAGGTCATTAGTGCTTAGTGACATCACTCAGCGGCCCCGTACTCTCCTTGATTGAACTCAAGGGTTACCGGTACTCACAAATATGTCGCACTAATATAGCTATTGCTTCGACCGTGTCGGTATACCCCGCACAGTTTCTATAACGTATTGCTATCTATGAATGTTTCCCAAAATCTGGGTGTAGGATTGTAAACCCAAACAAGAGAGCCAAGATATAAAGCAATCAAGGCAAACAATTAGTCATGCAAGAGGGTGATCTAAGCCCTAAGGTTACTCCACTTAAAAGTTCTCCCCAGCAGAGTCGCCAGTTCTGTGATACGGTGGGAGAACTGACTTGAGGTTTTGCGTTTGTTTTCGCAAATGTTTCGGTTGAGCAAGAGTCGCCACCGACTTTTTATTTTATCCTAAGGAAAGGTTAAAAAGCACAGCAAAAACCTTTGAGATGTTTTCTTGGGTTCGGGGAGTAGATTATAGAAAGGGAAGGTATTAGCACCCTTTCTATCCATGGTTATCCATGGGCTCTTAGTTACTTGCTTAGATCAACTTGCCTTAATTTTCAATTGTTTGAAATTGTGCTTTGTGTGTGGATTTTGAAAATGCTTTGAAAAGAGGCCAATGTGGTTGAAACCTTTGTAATGATCCATGTTGGGATGTATACAAAGGTGTATGTCTTTTGGAAAGGTTTTCAATGTTTTTGAAAGTTGTTTTGAAAGTGTAGTGATGTGTGGTTTGAAAAATAGGCAAGTGTTTTGTTTTGCAAGGGGGCAAGTAACCAAGAGCTATCTACCCTACATTTCTCAAAGATCTTTGCTATGTTTTAACCCTTTTAACAATTTTGTTCCACCATTGTATTTGGTGGACAATCTTGTGTTAGGATGTGAAAGGGACGGGCGCGGGTCATCGTTTTAGACCATAATTGCAATGGTGCCAAGTATCTTTGGGCAATTTTCTTTAAGGGACTTGATCATTTTTTAGGCAACTTTCGAAAGCGTCATCGAGGGACTATGATCATTTGATTTGTTTTGCTTTGCCCAAAGAGACCTAACATGCAATATGGCCCATTATTGAAGGCAACAAGTGGAATACCCTAGGGGTGCAAGTGTGATTAGTGTTGTCCATTTTCATGCTTGTTTATCTTGAATTTAGGTCAAACTATTTTTGGTTAATTGATTTGCATACAAACCCTAATTCTAACATGGCATATTTAGAAAGCTTTAAAGTGCGAAAAATAAAGTTCCTAAGTTATTACAACACAATATATGGGAAGGGGGGGTACAAATGTTCAAATGGGGGTATTTTGACAAGAATTAAAACCCTAGACTATTACATCAAACTTGGAATTTTGCAAGGTATTTATTTACACAATATTCAAATAAAAATAAGATAAATATGCAAAAATGCAAAAAAAAAGGTTTTTCATATGTATGTAAAAAGTATTTATCATGTATCAAATAAGCAAAAATAAAATCAATTAATTTTTGGTATTTTTATGCATTTAGGGCAAAAACCCTAATTATTACAAATAAAAGTATTTATTGTATGATATAGGCAATATTTATTAATTATGTACAAAAAATAAATAAAAGAGAAGTATATTTGTCAAAAAGGTATTTTTAATGTTAAATATTAATAAAAATAAAAATGTATATATTTTGTATTTTTATCCTAAATATTCTAATAAATATATATGTATTTGTATTATTTATTAAATATGTTAAATATGAACAAAAATAAAAATATTTAATATTTACAAAAAAAGTATATTTTATAAAAAATGTTTTCAGAAGATAAAATAAAATAAAATTAGAAAATAAATGTATTTTGTATTATTCCTAATATTCTAAACAAAAAGAAATATGTATTTATTTATATATATAACTAAATAAAGCAAATCAATATCAATAAAATGCAAAAAAATGTGGAAAAGGTTTTTTATGCTTTTTTATGTTTAGACAAAAATATAAAAACTAAATCAAAAGGAAAAAATCAAAAATAACAAAGATATCTTTAAATGGGCCAGGGGGGTTCAAAAGTAAAAACAAGGTGCAAATAGGAAGTCAAACTCAGGCCCA